AAAAACACAGCTTCCATATCATCAAATGTCACGGCATGCCCCTGTTCGACAATACGGTTCTTGGACAAGTATTACAGTATATCGTAGTGTTGTAGTTTATCACCCACTACCTGTGATACAGCACTAATACTTCTGCCTAGATTAATTTGCAAACATTTTATTTTTCCATTTTCTATTTCTGTTCTTTTATTGTTATTTATTAAGTTATCAATTTCCATAATTTATTTTTGCTGTAATATTTTTAATAATCTTTTGTCTTTCATGGCATTCATTGCTTATTGCTTTATGGGTGAAGGTTTTTTGTTTTGATTTAATACAGTTTATACAGTTAGGGGTGTTATCTTTATTTTTGCATTCGTTAAACCTATGATCTCCAGCACAGTGTGTACAGTAATTGCGATCACTGCTGCGACATTCGTGGGCCCATATTTACAACATTTGTAGCATTGCAGTATGCTAAAATATTCCTTTAATGTACTGTCGAGTGCAAAATGGTTTTCCTCATCGTGACGTGACGTCACGTCACGTAAGTGACGTCATTTCACCTGTCAATCATTTCTACCTGTGCTCCCATTGGTTTAAAATGGACTGCGCCGTTTAATGATTTATTGGGGGGGTGATAGGAATGATTCAAGAGGGATTATGTTAAGCACTAAGCTTAAAAATCGTAATCGCAGCTTTTTTAATATAATCACGTTGTTTTAATAAAAATCTGGCATTACAGTCATCAGAAAATACGATTATATCGTTTATTTATGTAATTTTTCTCCTTTCTAACGTTTCTTATGTTTATATTATTGTAATTTGATCCAAAAATGCAAAAGAAAAACATATCTAGTTTCACTTCCGTTCAAAATCTCTCAGGTTTCACTGCCTGGCATCGGCTTCCTTTGTAATTGGAGAGAAATGGGGGTGGAAGTCAAGGTCACAATAGTAAATGTTTATTACCTTTGCAGAAGGGTGTGAATCACACTCGTTTTTAACGTAAGCAAACCGATAAGTTCTTTATTACAGTGTTTTATTATCTTAAGTTTCAACGATTGACATCCACTCTCTTTGTAACTGGACAAGGATTAGAATTGAATATCAANGGAACGTTTAAATTCATCCCATGGAACTGTTCATAGACATCTACAACAAATCGGAAAAGTTTCAAAGCTAGGAAAATGGATACCACATGAACTGTCAATAGCTAACCAACAACAACATGTAAGCATTTGCACGTCTTTTTTATCCCGCATTACTTTCGAACCTTTTCTTGATCGGCTGGTTACTGGAGACAAAAAAATGGATCCTCTATAATAATGTGACGAGAAAAAGACAATGGACAGATCGCGACAACCAGCCAAAACCGGCTGCAAAAGGTTGGTTGCATCCAAAAACAATCCTTTTGTCTGTTTGGTGGGATATGTCAAGTGTAATTCACTTTGAGCTGTTAGAACCTAATCAAACAATTACAGCTCAAATGTATTGTGATCAATTAGAGCGTTTAAATGAAAAAAATCGACCGTCATTAGTGAACAGAAAGCAGATTCTCTTGCAACATGACAACGCCAGACCACATGCTGCAAAAATAACTGTAGAGTAACTCAAAAGCTTCAACTGGGAAATTTTACCTCATCCACCATATTTGCCAGATATTGCTTCCAGTGATTATCATCTTTATCGGAGTTTGCAGAATTTTTTAAAAGGGAAAACTTTTGAGGATGAGAACAATGTAAAAAAGGCTATTTCTGAATATTATGATTCAAAACCGAAATCATTTTACGAAGACGGGATTAAAAAGCTACTATTAAGATGGCAAGATATTGTACAAAATAATGGTGAATACATTATAGATTGAAATAAGATTTAATTAAAATTTTTTGTTGCTTTTTTTTGTAGATAAAAAATGCGCACGAACTTATGGACTGACCTGATACATATTTTAGGCATTATCCTTTTTGGTTTTCTAGCAACCAAATCTTCTCTTTTATCTATTTCTTTTATCAGTCTTTCGCTTTGATTAATATTTTCTACTTCTACTAGAATTGCCTTATTTCGTAATTTGCGGACATTTTTTATTCCAACCCCAATTTTAACAGGGTCTATAATATTCTTTACCTTATTCTTAATTTTCTCTGATTCAACATTATTATCTTTATGGTTTATTATTACTACCGCCTTACCGTCTTTTTGATGCTGTTTCCCTTCCTTTACTTTGTCTGCATATGTTATAACCTGTTCATTCTTTTCGGTATTACTCAGTAATTTATCTATTTTATTATTGATTTCGTTTATTCGGCCGTCAATTTTTATTCTATTATCTTTATATATTTCTACTATTTTTTCGAGACTTTCTGTTATAAATTGGACATGGATTTTCGATCCTAATTTGGAGCTAGCATATTCTTCCATGTATTTAATGATTACGTTTTTAACAGAAAAAATTTGGGAGAGACCAACATCTTCCTCTTCGTCGTTCGAATGTCTTTTAACTAGAGAACAACTAAATTCTTCCATCATGACTTAGTATATACTCGTGAAACTAATTTTTGAATAAATAAAGTGAATTACTAATAACTAGAATACTACTAATGAATAAGTAATTAAACTGCAATAAATAATTTCATAAATATATGACCAGTCTATATATTTAATATTTAGTAGCAATATTTAGTAGTACTACTAAATATTTATTAAAACCAAACATTTCATCGTATTTCGTGGTAAAAATAACCACTACATATGATATGCTGCTTTTATGCTTTTGAAATTGTGTATTGTTTATCAAAATATATTCTAGGTTGTATTCGTATAGAATTCATCAAAAATATAAGAAAGTATTTTATCCAAATTTTATTGATTTTGAATGAAAACGAATAGTAAAATTGAAGTTTATATTCTTTGATTTCTGGTGTAACTTTTCAAAATATTAAAGTATAAAGTTACTAAGATACAGAATTAATTAAGTAGGCACGTATTGTGAAAACAAGAGATTTACGTCTTTAATATTCTGTTACATGTAATAAACTGAAGTATTTAACAAATTATATTTATATAATTTATTTTATAAACTATAAATAGAAGACAGCTGAAGTAACTACATTAACTGCAATTATAATATTTATTAAAACCTTTAATAAATAAAACTTTGTTGTTTTATTATCATCCTATATGTATATGAAAAGTGCATACATCTTATACTTACGTATTAAAAAAAAATAAAAAGATAAAACTACTGAAGAATCAGTTAACATTTTTCCAGGTATAAATTGTATTTGATGAAAAATGCTATTCCCTTCACTATTCAAAAACATCTAATTAAAAGCACTGTAATATAAATCCACATGCATCATCATATACAGATTCTTCCACAAAAAAATAATATTATATGAAAACATTGCAGTGTACAGTACATAAAAACATTGGAAAACTATCTAAGTTTCACACTTACATTTACCATTGCATTTATCATTATATTATATTATATTTACCAATACAATTTCAAAATATGTATACCATATATAACACAGCACACATCTAACCAATACGTAAATTCTTCCTACACTCTCTATGTCATATCCATTGTCATTCCTGTCACGGTTCCTACAGATTATTCATCTATCTATTCTATCGCGCAATGAGTAAATCCCACTTTTTGTGGATTCGCCATTTTTGTTTACGTCACTTCTTATATATATATATATTAGACAACAATACGTTTGAATGCGGATGAGACATGAAATTCGCACCGTTACTCATCTCTTGGAATACAATCGCATACTTCTCAGATAATAATTAACGTAATTACAGCAATTTAAAGTAGACCCCGTATAACTTTATCATCATAAACGTTATAGTGTGTATCGATAATTCATATATATATATTCATCAATATGTTTCCTGATAATAATGTATCAAACGCTTTGACGACCAACTGTTTCGTCGCATCAACAACTTCATTTTGAAACAATACAAACGATCAAGATCTTTCTACGCAATGAGTTTGTTGACATTACTTGGTTACAAGAATGATCTTCTTCAGTCATTTGTTCTCTAAACTTACGATTAGAATATCGAAATCTGTCCCAACCAAGAAGTGTCTCGTCTGGTAACGACTACTCAACTAGTGGCTATAACATCTCTGCATACTTATCTCTCGCAACTCCTTACGTTTCTAATGCTTGTAACTTTGTTTCAAGTTGATCGTAAAGTTTTCTTAAAAAATTCCCATTAATTGAATTATTTTTCTGTAATCCTAGAGAATGATCTCGAACGAATACTTCTATAAGTAATTCTTCTCTACAAAAACGGGCTTGTAATTGTTTCTTTTCATTGGAGGGCAATCTCTTAATGAATGTTTTGGCAGGTGTTTCCTATTGCAATACTTGAGATAAAAAAGCGAATTTCTGTAAATTTCTCTAGATTTTGGAACTCGATCGAGATCAACTTCGTCGATTTTTTAGAACTGTCCCCGGAATCCAAACCATTTCTTCACAATACCAACAAATGTAGGTAATTATAACTTCGGATATCATAATAACAAATTTTACGAAATTGGTTTGTTAATTGTTTGTGGCTATGAAGGAACAGGCATATTAAATTCAACGGAATTCTAAACGGAACTTACGGAACTGCTTTAAGACTACTCATTTTACTGTGCATAATCCATTTTTCGATATATGTTTCCGATTCAACTATTTCTGGCTCAGTAATATCATTATTCGTTGTTTCTGTCAAAAGTATTTCTTTAATTTTGTCATCAACTATTAGCACGAATTTCGAATTTTCATCGGTTAGACTTAACTTTATAATATTTCTATTAATTAATNTTGAGTTTTAATTAAAACATGTCAAAGGTGTTTATAATATCGCGGTATTATTACGAAATTTAATGATGATAAATGTGTTATAAAAAATATATATACATTTATATATATATATAACTGCATGTGTCACGTGTGGAATTCTCAGCTATAAAAATCGCAGTATAAATAAAGCCGAGTAAATATATAAAATATCAAATGCTATGAATACAGAAGTGGTTTGCATCGTTATATTAATTCTTTGCATCAATACCGATGCCACAAGTAAGAACCTTTTCTTTTCGTAAGATTAAAATATTCATATTTTCATCAATTTTGAATTAATTTTCAATTTAGGATATAATATACCAATAAAGTGTCATCTTCAGCCAGATTCAGGATGTCTCGCATACCTGCTTCGTTATTATTATAATATTTCTACTGACAAATGCGAACTTTTCGGTTATGGTGGATGTTTCGGAAACGGCAACAATTTCGAAACTTTACAGGAATGTTGCGATGAGTGTTCTGCAAGTAAGTTCAGCTATTCGATATTCTATATTAAGCTGGTAATTACGTTTTAAATTAATATGTAAATTTCACACTAATATTGTTTCCCCCAGCAAATTTGGATTGTAAACAAACCAAAAAATATATACAGGACATGATCGACCGTCAACCAAAACCGAGTGGAAAAAGCATTGAAATCTGGTAGTTGGTCACGGGTTCGAACTTCACCAAAGGACTAGGCGGATGCAGTTTTGTCTGTCTTCTTTATGTGTTTTGTTCGTTAAATAGGATCAAATTCTCATAGAAAGTCCTTTGGATAGTACTCCTACTTCGTGTCTATGTGTAAAGGAAATAAATGTCTAAAAATTCTTCCGAGTTCATGTTATTCAGTAACGACTAATAAAGTGTCAGGAAGTGTTTATATTTTATTCATGCCAAGTATGTTTAAAATAATCTGGTTTGTTTGAAGAATCGGCCATTTTGGGGCCAACTAGTGGCCGAATGGCTAAAATTACTGCACACTGTTGGTTTGTCGTGCGCTCGCTCCTGATCATGGAATTTTATGGGTTTCCTTAACGTTACTAACATATAAGTAGGGTCAATTTTTAATGTAAAGTCCTCTTGGGAGGCATCCCACCCCGGCGCTTTGAGGTAAAGAGGTAAACAAAAACCAAACATTTTATCGTATTTCGTGGTAAAAATAACCATTACATATCATTTGCTGTTTTTATACTTTTGAAATTGTGTATTGTTTATCAAAATATATTCTAGGTGGCGTTTATATAGAAGGCATTAAAAATATAGGGAATGTTTATTCCAAATTTTATTGATTTTCAATGAAAATGAATAGTAGAATTGAACTTTATGTTCTTTGATTTGTGGTGAAACATTTCAAAATATCGAAGTCTAAATTTACTAAGATAAAGAATTAGTTAAGTAGGCACGTATTGTGAAAACAAGAGATTTACGCCATTAATATTTCTATTACATTTAAGAAACTTAGGCATTTAACATATATTTTTAGTAAAATATTTAACAAATTATATTTATATAATTTATTTTATAAACTAAAACTTGATAACAGCTCAAGTAACTACATTAAACATTAACTGCAATTATAATATTTATTAAAACCATGAAAAATAAAACATTGTTGATCTATCTATTATCATCTTATAGAGGAGACCAGGGCAAGATAGGCACGTATATTAAATTATGTTATTAACAATGTATAAGTTGGAATTCACTATTAAAACAAAGAAATACAAATCCAACACCCATTTAATATTATTACAACGAAATGCAAGTTCAAAGACATATATACATGAATAACAAATGCAAACATGTTTTCATTTATCATCTGTTTGATTTTTATCCTTTGCTTCTAATGTGGCTTTATGTTGCCGATCTTACCCCGCTAGTCATGATTTCGAAACATTAAGTACAACCCTGAGAACAGAATGCCAAGCCACGATCTGGCCACGTGAATAAGTTGAAGTTACATCCTTCTAACAGGAAAAGTAACTTTCGTTATCATGGAATTATAACAAAACCTGCCAATTCAATATAAATGGAAAAAAAATATTATATGGAATTGAACGAAAATGAAAATTTGCTTGATAATTCAACTACGCTTGTTGGAGAACAATAAAAACACTACACTCAACAAGCCACCAATAAAACTCAACTGCCTAACCTATAACCAAAGTCTCCTTTTAATTTGTTTTTTAAAAAAAGCGCTTGACAAACTTGCCCCGCATGCCGAAGTTGCCCCGGTCTCCCCTATGTATAAGAAAAGTTCATACATTTTTTATTTATGTATTAAAAATATAAAAACAGATAAGTTACTCATGAATCAGTTAATATTTTTTTATGTTGAAATTGTATTTAATAAAATATGCTATTCCCTTCACTATTCAAAGTGTTTTAATTAAAAGCACTGTAATATAAACACACAGGCATCATCATATACAGGTTCTTCCAAAGAGAATCTACCATTTTAAATTAATTGTTGTAGTTATGTGAATTATTATATGAGAATTTTGCAGTGTACATGAAAGCATCGGAAAACTAACCAAGTTTCATACTCACGTTTACGTACGTAATTTCGTATGAATAAAAAATATCATACAGGAATATCATAAATTTGAATAATTTAATTTATTTTCTAGTAAATAACTAAAATTGTAGGGCCAATCTCACCCATACCGACGCGTTATGATCAATTAATTTATGTTCTCTTACATTATAAGATTAAAGTAAAATAAAGCGTTTCATTGAGAGTTTTAATGAACATAATAATGATTACGAAAAAAATACTGTTTTATTTCTAAATATGAAATAAAAAATATACTTATTCCATAAATTTAATGAGAAAAAAAAAGAATTATTTTCAGTTGAACATAAAAAATATTACTAAAAAATTTATGAAAATAAAAATCTCTTTCTCAAGAAAAAAAAAAAAAAAAAAGACAAACTTGAAAATTTTCATAATAAGACTTCAAAAACAAAAATGATCGATACTTTGATCACTTAATCTAGTTTTCAATCTGTTTACAAAAAGACCTGAAGCTGAAAACTCCTTTTCAGACTCTATTGAAGTGGGTAAAATGGTTTTCAAAGCTCTCAAAAGAAGAGAAATTTGCTGAGAGTTTACGTCTGTTTTTTTTTTAATATTTTGCTAATTCAGTTTTTAACTGCTCTCCAGCACTTAATTCTTTGTTTATTGCTCTCTGTTCTTGTCGTATTCATGATCACTCGGTTGCTTCAAGATATGCATTTAGCTTGTCAGCTAAATTCATTTTATTCGGTAGTTATTTGAGTTTATTACCTTCACTAGATTTAGAAATAGCAGATTCTCCAAAAAGGCGATCAAACATTTGTTTTGCTGATGAAATTATAATCGCGTCAGATTGTTGGAATGCGCTGTCACTCTCGAACTTCTTATATTTGTTTTCACGGGTGAGGTAAAGTAACAGTCCCATCAATTTTTCGTTTCTTTTCTCTTTTATGCGGATAACAAAATATTCAAGTACTTTTTTTTAGAAAAAGCAGTGTTCAATTGCTTCAGTTTATTCTAAACGTAAGAGGTAAAATCTTCTGCTGAAAGTAGAGAAGATTTTCTTCTACCTAGCTTTTCAACAGCTAGTTTTAAGTTCTAGCGATGCCACGAATTACATCGACTTCTTGTTTTTCAAGGCTAAGAGTACTATTTTTATCTTCTTTGAGATCAATGAGAACTTTCAACACGGATGGTCTTATCTTGATATACCGTTCTAGCATAGCTAAAAGACTGTTCCATCTGGTTTTTGAATCCATTATTAAATGTAAGAGTTTTCCATTTTGGATTTGTTGGCAAAGTATATCCTTTCTCTGCCAAAGATTGCCTGATATATTCACTTTTTGTAATAGAATTAATAGCTATACCATCTAGCGTAGACACTTTGTAACTATTTCTTGCAAAGTTTTCTGTTTTATTAAAAATAATGATAGATTTTGCTGAGAGGCTTTCCTCTTGTTATTACTACATTCATGTTCTTCACTTTTATTATCAGAATCACTAGTAGAACACTTGTTTATATTGTGCTTATCATGCAGGTGTCTGATAAGACCACTAGTAAACCAATCTTTGCACTTTATCTCAGCTTTACACTTTTTACAGGTTGTTGTTGTTGTATAGTACTTGGTTTTTAAAAAAAAAAAAAAAAAAATGTTTCCAAACAAACAACTCTGATATTACAGTGGTTTGATTTTATCAATTATATTAAAATAAATTGTGGTAAAATACGAGTAATTGACAACAGTTACATTTACAGTTACAAATGATAGGATATAAATGGGAATGTAAGCTTTAACAAATTCCTTATAAATGCGAATTCGAAACTAAAGTGCGATGAGTGATATTTACTATCAGCGAGTGCTCAGCTGCTCAATGATGCGCAAACACAATACATAAATAAATTTTCGGGAAAAAATTTTTCAGGGATTTTTCCTCATAGGGAATAAAAGGCGGGAATCCCAGGAAAACGGAATCCCGGGATCCGGGGAAAGAAACCCTACACCGCACACATCTAACCAATACTCAAATTCTTCCTACCCTGTCTACATCATATCCATTGTCATTCCTCTCACGGTTCATACAGATTATTCATGTCGCGCAATGATGAGTAAATCCCACTTTTTCTGGATTCGCCATTTTTGTTTACGGCGCTTTTTATATATATATTAGACAACAATACGCTTGAATGCAGATGAGAGATGAAATTCGGACCATTACTCATCTATTGGTATACAATCGCATACTTCTTAGATAATAATTAACATAATTACAGCAATTTAAAGTAGACCCCGTATAACTTTATCATCATAAACGTTATAGTGTGTATCGATAATTCATATATGTATTCATCTATATGTCTCCTGATAATAATGTATCAAACGCTTTGACGGCCAAGTGTGTCGTCACATCATCAACTTCATTTTGAAACGATACAAACGATCAAGATCTTTCTACGCAATGAGTTTGTGGACATTATTTGGTTACAAAAATGATCTTCTTGAGTCGTTTCTTCTCTAAACCTACGATTAGAATATCGATATCTTTCGATATTCTCGAACTCTCCCCAGAATCCAAATCATTTCTTCATAATACCATCAAATGTAAGTAATTTTAACTTCGGATATCATAATAACGAATTTTATGAAATTGGTTTGTTAATTGTCTGTGGCTATGAAGGAACAGGAATATTAAATTGAACGGAATTCTCAACTTTTGCTTTAAGACTACTCATTTTTACTGTGCATAATTCATTTATCGATATGTGTGTCGGATTTATACATTTTTCATTCAGTGATATCATCATCCTTAGTTTTTTTAAAAGTACAGTTCTCCCTTGATAATCCGTCAACTATGGAACCAAAGGGTGTAGGATTACCAAAAGTGTCCGGAGTACCAAAAGTGATTACATGTTTGGCATTGTTTTGCTAGCAGTAGCCTACAATGTTCCCAACTCCAACTGTTAGAATAGAACTGCTAACGAAAAACACACGAAAGGTGTGTCATCGTGTAAGAATTGGGTGGAGAGATTCATGTCGCGACATGCTTCCGTGCAAGCAGACACGTAACGGGAACAGGGACTACGGTGACCTCGACGGGAGGTGCGTCAGACTACTGAGGATGTCGGATTACAAAACGTCGGACTATCAAGGAACAACTCTAACTTATTCCTCAACTATTAGCATCAATTTCGCCTTTTCTTCGATTAAACTTAATTTTATAATATTTTCATTATCCGATAACTCGTTTTCTTTCTCGTACTCATTGCATACTTTTGTATGCAATCTTCTGTGCCGCTTTTAACGTCTCCATGTTTAAAATAAATAGGCGTAAAGTTCACTTTACAGCCGAATCCTGTGGCATACGCCAGTTGATCTGGTTACCCATAAAAAATCTGAGGAATAGCTCTCCCGGATTCTATTTCCAAGCTTGCACTTTAATCGACACCTGTATGATTAATGCTTTGAAATAAATGGAATTTTTCTTATATTATTTTAGAATAAATTTCTATTCTTTGCGTTTTAATTAAAACATGTCAAAGGTGTTTATAATATCGCGGTATTATTACGAAATTTAATGATGACAAATGTGTCATAATATATAACTGCATGCGTCACGTGTGTAATTCTCACCTATAAAAATCACAATATAAATAAAGGCGAATAAATATAAAATATCAAAAGCTATGAATACAGAAGTGATTTGCGTCGTTATATTAATTCTTTGCATTTATACCGATGCCTTTGGTAAGAACCTTTTCTTTTTGTGCGATTAAAATATTAATATTTTTATGAATTTTGAATTAATTTTGAATTTAGGAAATAAAGTACCAATAAACTGTCATCTTCAGCCAGATGAAAGACCGTGTAGCCATACAAGGTTTAGTTATTATCATAATATTTCTACTCGTAAGTGCGAACTTTTTCGTTATGGTGGATGTCTAGGAAACGGCAACAATTTCGAATCTTTACAGGAATGCTGCGATCGTTGTTCTGCAAGTAAGTTCAGCGATTTGAAATTGTATATTAAGTTGACAATTACTTTTTAAATTAATATATGAATTTAACGCTAGTTTTTTGTTTTCTCCTCCCAGTAAATTTGGAATGTGAACAAATCCAAAAAGATATACAGGAATTGATAGACAGTCCACCAAGACCGAGTGGAAACAGCACTGAAAGGTGGTAGTTGGTTACGGGATCGAACTTCACCTGCTGACTGAGCGCATGGAGTTTTGTTCGTCTTCTTCGTGTGTTTTACTCCTTAAATAAAGTCGGTTTCTCATTAAAAATAATCCTTCCGGGAGCACCGCTACTTCGTGTCTATGTGTTCTCATCTATAAAGGGAATAAATGTGTAAAAATGCTGCCTAGTCCATGTTATACAGTAACGACTAATAAAGTGTCAGGAAGTGTTTATGTTTTATACGTGGCGAAATATATTTAAAATAATCTGGTTTGTTTGAAAAATCGGCCATTTAGAAACCAACCACTGTCGAATGGCTAAAAAAATAGGCCTATATGGGGTGTTTATTCCAAATTTTATTGATTTTCAATGAAAATGAATAGTAGATTTGAACTTTATATTATTTGATTTCTGGTGAAGCATTTCAGATTTTAAAGTCTAAATTTACTAAAATAAAGAATTAATTAAATAGGCACGTATTGTGGAAACAAGAGATTTACGCCATTAATATTTCTATTACATTTAATCAACTGAGGTATTTAACAAATATTTTAAATAAAATATTTAACAAATTATATTTACATAAATTATTTTATAAACTAAAGCTAGAAGAGAGCTGAAGTAACTGTCATTAACAGCAATTATAAGACCGGATGGCCGTGCGGTCAAAGTGGCAGCCTACCGCTCTGGGAGACTCGGGATCGAATCAGGACGAGTCGAGGAATCCCCAGGAATTTTTCGGGGTGATCCGTTTGAATATGTCGGGTCCCGTCTCTCACCACCCGGTCGCGCCATTGTGGGCCTGGCCGAACTCATAATGGGCCAGCTATAAGGGGCCCTCTTAGTGCCCACAGGGCAAAAAGAGTAAAAAAAACTGCAATTATAATATTTATTAAAACGTTTAATAAATAAAACATTGTTGTTTTTATTATCATCAGTCGAGTAAAGACACCATTTGTAACAAAATAACTCCGCTAAATTTCTTTCTACACTCTATCCTTCAAATGCGCGGAGGGCCGAGAGAGAGAGAGTTTACAATACTGAATGGAAAAATCTCAAAGGGATATCCTCCTGTAATATCGTCTCAAAATAATGGTCCCGGGTTGTGGCACAAGGTACTCTCGTTAGGCTTTACGGGGTAGTAAGGTCCGTCGGTGGAGTAGAACAATATCCGATCTCGATGCTTTGTCTCTTCTGACGAACGGCCAGCGACTCCCCTGATGGGGGGAGGAGCAGCTTTTATAACTTCATAGTGGGAAGACATATCACGAGACCGATTGTTAAAGGTTAAAGTTCTTGTCGGGATGAAAACAAATGACGAATTCGGTCTGTAAATGTAAACTTTACACTGTTACAGCGTGAGAATGTACACTGCTGGCCATTAAAATTGCAACACCAAGAAGGAAAGCAAATAAAAAAAACGATATTTATTGTACATAAACAGTATGACATAAAGACAAAATGATTAAATTTGCAAGCAGTTTGGGGGTTTACAGGGGTGCAAAATTAGTAGACACAGTTGCCACCCCCGGCGGCTAAAACGGCCCTTATCCGTATAAACATGGAGTCGAACTGGGCTTGGATGACAGAAACGGGCAACTCATTCCATGCCGCTTCAAGTCTATGCCATACTTCATCAACTGTATTAGCAGGAGAGAGGAGGCGGGCCAGTCTCTCAGCAATCCATGACCAGATGTTTTCAATTGGTGAGAGATCTGGAGACCGTGCAGGCCAGGGAAACAATTGAATATCCTCTGTATCGAGGAAGGACAGAACACGATGTGCAACATGAGGTCTTGCATTATCTTGTTGGAAGATGGCATTTTGCAGGCCTCGAAGATAGGGCACAACCACTGGATGTTAGATGTCAGAAATGTACCGATCTGCGTTCAAATTACCATCGATCCGAACTAGAGATGTGTGTGTCGTGTACCGAATGGCTGCCCATATCATCACACCAGGTGCAGGGCCCCTAAGCCAATATCAAATGCAAGCAGGAGACAAGCGGTCTGCTCGGAACGTTCAGACACGTATACGGCCATCAGAATGCTGCACGCAGAACCAGGACTCGTCTGAAAAGACGACATTGTGCCACTCCTATATCCAGCTTTGTCGTTCGGCACACCAGAGTCGCCATTTCTCTCTATGCTGCATTGTCAAGGGAAGCCGAAGTAATGGTCGCCGTGCTGACAGTCCATGCTGCTGCAAACATTGTCGCACTGTACGAGATGATACTGAATGTACTGCAAACAAGCTCATTTCCTGACTAATGGTCCGTGATGTGGTTGTACGGTTTTGCACAGCCGACTTCACAATATGTCTGTCCTCTCGGACGTTAGTCATGGGAGAGTGTTGAGATCCTGCATGCTGTTCAGTAAGACCCTCAGCAACTCATCGATTCCATATTCGCATGGCAGTGGTTGGATTTCGACGAGTGGCAATATCATGGAACGATAATCCACACTCTCAATAGGCAATGATCCTGCCTCTATCGAATTCCAACACTTGCTGATAAGCATTTCTTGTTATTCGAGGTATAACACAATATTCTGATGATACTCCCACCTTACAAAGCGATTTCCGAATGAGAAATCCACTGCACAACTTTTCTTTTATACAGTGCTTCAGATGTCGTTTGTCCCTCCTGCATTGTCTAAATGCACTGAAATATTAATCAGTTGCATAGCCCAACTTCTTCTTCCTTTCATATGATTTTGACGTTCATACGATCATTCCTTCCTGGTGTTGCAATTTTAATGGCCAGCAGTGTATGTTTTTGGATAGGAAGGGTTATAAAATTCCCACGAACTCAATAGTTTCTTTGGGCACTGGATTAATTCATGTAGGAAATTAGATAATAATTCGAATTTCACATCAACCTATATGTAGGCCTATATGAAAAGTGCATACATTTTATATTTATATTAAAAATATAAAAATATAAAGGTACTCACTAATCAATTAATATTTTTCCATGTAGAAATTGTATTTAATAAAAAAATGCTATTTCCTTCACTATTCAAAATGATGTAATTGTCGGAGCGAGGCGAAGCTGAGCGACGACTAGACTTCATGCATCCCTTGTCAACATTATAACTCTACAATGAGTTTTTCGATCTTGATGAAATTTTTTAGGACGACTCATCATATCTCAAGAATGAAGTGGTTAAAATTTTAACTCTCAAAAATGATTCATTTTTGTAGGACTGGAGATAGGGGTCAAAACGAAGGTCGCGTTTTTCTTCAGTATTAGAAATCAAAATGAGCTGACTGAGGCTACGTTCTTCGTGGCAGCGTCTATTTATCGAGCCTATTTATCCAGAGATGAACTTGATCAGTAGCTATATCCAACAAATGAGCGAGTTAAACAAAGCAAAGAAAACTACTTGCAGTCAACAGGGTGCTCTGTTGACTGCAAGTAACATCTGAAAACACTCCAGATATTGCCCTGCCTTCGTCCAAAGATGACTCAGCTCTTGGTGTCTCCAAGTATTTGAATATCTCAGTTAATGCCAGAATCATGCTGAGAGTCAACTTATGAGTGCAAGGAGGTCTCGTCAATGGTTCACTAAGAACTATACGCTACATTATATATGGATTAATTCATTGGATTAATTTTTCTAAATTAGCAAGTGCTTTGTCTTTCTGTGGTGATAGTTCTCTATCTTTTCCCTCTTCAGATGGACAAACTCGAATCATCGGGAAACTTTTCCCTTGTCTTTCTTACAATGAAATTTTTTGAACTTTTCTCTGACTTATAAAGTCCAGAAAAAAATACACAAATCCTCTGAAAGCCTTCTTTTGAAGAAGCAAATAAGTCAGCTGCGGAAGATATGAATAATAATTTACCTCTCTTACAATTGTTTTTTTCTCCTATATTATTAGAAAGCTCATTTGGAACGAATGAATCAAACTGATGGCCCACTGTATCGTCACTTCATCAACTTTGTTTTGAAACGATACAAACGATCAAGATCGTCCTACACAATGAGTTTGTGAACATTACTTGGTTACAAGAATGATTTCATGAATCGTTTCTTCTCTAAACCTACGATGATCTGACAGAAATCTTTCCCTACCACGAAGTGTCTCGTCTGGTAAAGACTAATCAAATAGTGGCTATGACATTGCTTATCTCTAGCGACTCCTAACGTTTCCAATGATTGTAATTTTGTTTCAAGTTGATCATAAAGTTTTCTTAAAGAATTCCCATTAATTGAATTATTTTCCTGTAATACTAGAGAAAGATCTCGAACGTATACTTTTATAAGTAATTATTCTCTACCAAAACGGGCTCGTAATTGCCTCTTTCCATTTGAAAGAAAACTCTTAAAAAATTCTTCCACACGTGTTCCCTTTTCCATTATTTGAGATAAAAAAGCGAATTTGTTATCACTGTCTAAATTTTGGAAATCGATGAAAATCAACTTCGTCGACTTTCTGGAAATGTCTCCAGAATGGAAACTATTTCTTCACAATACTATAAAATGTGAGTAATTTTAATTTCGGGTATCATAATAACGAATTTTGCCAAACTGTTACATTAATTGTCTGTAGCTATGAAGGAACAGGCATATATTAAATTCAACGGAATTCTCTACTTTTGGTATAAGACTACTCATTTTACTGTGCATTATTCATTTATTTATATGTGTTTTTGATTAATCTATTTCTGGCTAAGTAATATCATTATCCTTAGTTTCTGTCAAAAGTATTTCTCTAACTTTGTCCTCAACTATTAGCATCAATTTTGCCTTTTGTTCGATTAGACTTAACTTTATAATATTTTTATTATTCAATAACTCTTCTTCTTTCTCGTACTCATTGCATACTTTCGTAAGCAATCTTCTGTGCCGCTTTTAACGTCTCCATCTTTAAAATAAATAGGCCTAAACTTCACTTTGCAGTCGAATTCTGTGGCGGATGCCAGTTGATCTGCCGCCTCACTAAAATGTCCTAAGGATTAGCTCTCCCGGATTCGATTTCCAGGCTTGAACGTTAATTGACACGTTCATATTTCAAAGCATTAATTATTTGTGATTAATACTTTGGAAAAAATAAAATATCTTGAAATTTTGAGTTTTAATTAAAACATGTGAAAGACGTTTATAATATCACCATATTATTACGAAATTTAATGATGATAAATATGTCATAATATATAACTGCATGTGTCACGTGTGTAATTCTCAGCTATCAAAATTGCAGTATAAATAAAAGGGAGTAAATATAATATATCAAAAGCTATGAAAACAGAAGTGGTTTGCATCGTTATATTAATTCTTTGCATCAATACCGATGCCACAAGTAAGAATATTTTCTTTTCATGCTATTAAAATATTCATATTTTCATTAATTTTGAATTAATTTTGAATTTAGAAAGACCAACAGACTGTCTATTTCAGCGAGATCCAGGACCATGTACCGGAACAATAGATAGTTANTACCGATGCCACAAGTAAGAATATTTTCTTTTCATGCTATTAAAATATTCATATTTTCATTAATTTTGAATTAATTTTGAATTTAGAAAGACCAACAGACTGTCTATTTCAGCGAGATCCAGGACCATGTACCGGAACAATAGATAGTTATTATTATAGAATTTCTAATGGTAGATGCGAACGTTTCGTTTATGGTGGATGTGACGGAAACAGCAACAATTTCCAAACTTTACAAGAATGCTGCGACTTTTGTGTTTCAAGTATGTTTATTAATTTCAAATTTTATATTAAGCTGGCAATTACTTTTTAAATTAATATATAAATTTCACGCTGATATTGTTTTTCCCCCAGCAAAGCCGCCTTGTCCTAGAGAAAGTATTGATATAATGGACTACGTGTAAAATATAATTTTTACACATGGAATATCGTTATTGCATTAAAATAATTGTGTATTTGTTTATTCAAATGTATTCTTCGTTAGTAATGAGTAGAACGAATTAAAAATGCAGATTTGCCTGAGGAAGAAATTGAAATCCTAAAATCCATCCCAGATCCATTATAATTATACAGTAAGATGCAATTTTAATACATTTCCATTAAATGTATTTAGTATTTAATAAATTTCATAATTATGTTAGTTTTCTTTTTTCCGTGACTGATATTTTACAGAAATTGCAATTTCCCACGTACAGTTTTAGTAGGAGCAAAATTACTTTCGTTAAAATGGCGTTACTAAGCTGTTAGTTGCTGTGGTATTATGGATTTTCTTCAATCATTTAATAATACAGCAATTAATTAATTATATATTTCAAAATATAACTTATATAATCAGATGAAAGCTTTTTACTTGTGAAATGCACGAAATGCAAGTTTCATTTGTATTAAAAAAACGGACTTATTCAGCCATGCATAAACAATGTCTAGCAAGAATTTTGTCTTCCTGTGTACAGGTGAAGCGAAACTGTTCTATTTCTATATATTTTTCTCCGTTTTTCGATTGATATTGGGCAGGTTCTACTTTTTCATAAAATATATCTACTGTACTTCACCAGATGAATATATCAAAATATCCCGAATTTTTCGACGATGAAATAATTGTAAGCACGTAAGCTTGCACATGCTTGTAATGACTGTGCAGTGTAGCCTAAATTTTAGATTTAAAAGAGTAGTTATATATATAGGCCTATATCACCATACATAAATTTTGGTAATGATTTATCTCTAGGTCTCTAGAAAATCTAAAGTCGTAAAATGTCATAAAAGAGATTAGAGAAAGAAACAGTAAAATACGGGTTTAATTTCATGAGGTACCTTTTTTTTTCTTCGATAGAGAAATCATTATAATATTAATATAAACTAGACTTGGTAGATCTTGAAAATTAGAAACCTTTAAAAATATCCGTTGGAAAAGTAGATTTACAAAACTGTTTTTCTAGCAGGATAAAGGATGTATTTATTTATAAAGGACAAGAAGTTTTATAGTTGTAAATTCTTTAAGATGTAAGAGATTAGACAAAATGTCTGTAATCGTGAATAAGTACAAGAAATATTTATCGCAATATTTATAAGAACTAGAATTAAATTAAAAACTAACTAGAAACGACAATTTAGAAGCAATATAAAACAATCTCTGGAAGGGCGGGAAAACATAACATACTTGGAGTTTTAAACACTTATTATAAACATTTTTGTAAACTATAGAAATTTGAGTGATAAGTTAATAAATACAGAAGTCAATTTTGCAAGTAAGGAAGAAATAAATAGAATAGAAGCATAAATACTTTAATCACAAATCATACTGTTGTCAGTCAACTTACGGAAAACGGAGAAACCAGAAACAGTTTTACTCCTAGATGATCAAAACGATATGCTCAGTGGTACAATTGTTTGTGTAAGGTCTATATGACTCAAAAATCTGGGTCGATAAGCCAGCATGAAATTTCAACATACAAGAAGGAAACCCTCACTTGTTGCTCTTGATCTGATAGTCTGATGAGGAAATGGTTTGCGTTTGAAATGATTGTCTCTTTCTATTAAAGGGAAAACTCTTAATTAATTCTTCGGAAGGTGTTCTCTTTTTAGAAACTTGAGATAAATAGGCAAATTTGTTATAATTGTTTAAATTTAAGAAATCGATGGAGATCAACTTCGTCGATTTTCTGAAACTGTCTCCAGAATCGAAACTACTTCTTTACAATACTATAAAATGTGGGTAATTTTAACTTCGGATAACACAATAACGAATTTTGCCAAACTGATTCGTTAATTGTCCGTAATTATGAAAAAAACATGAAATATTAATTTAAATCATATTAAATTGAATGGAATTCTCTACTTTTCTCTGGGTTTTCGATTAATCTACTTTTCAGTGATATCGTTATTCTTAGTTTCTGTGAAAAATATTTCTTTAACTTGATCCTCAATCATAACCATCAGTTTCGCCTTTTGTTCGATTAGACTTAACTTTATAATATTTTCATTATCCGATAACTCGTCTTCTTCATCGTATTCATTACATACTTTCGTAAGCAATCTTCAGTGCCGATTTTAACGTCTCCGTGTTTAAAATAAAAAGGCGTAAAATTCACTTTGCAGCCGAATCATATGTCGGACGCCAGTTGATCTGGCCATTCATTAAAATGTCCTAAGGATTAGCTCTCGCGAAGTACATGTGTCACGTGTGTAATTCTCTGCTATAAAAGTTACAGTACAAATAAAGGCGAGTAAACATAAAATAACAAAAGCTAGAAATACAGAAGTGGTTTGCACCGTTATATTTATTTTTTGCATCAATACCGATGCCACAAATAAGTACAGTAAGCTAGCGATTACTTTTTCAATTAACATATAAATTTCACACCGGTATTCTGTTTTCTTTTTAGAAGATTCGGTTTGTGAACAGATAACTGACAGTTTACCAAGACCGAGTCGAAAAACACTGAAAGTTGGTTATTATAATTGCCTTACAATCCGTATTTTTAATTGTATACTTGGACATTACTCATGAAAAATGTCCAAGTAGACAATTAAAGATAAAATAAAACTAAAAGATGGTAGTTGGTCACGAGTTCGTAACTCACCAGCTGACTGGGCGAATGGAGTTTTGTACGTTTTCTTCGTATGTCTTACAAGTTAAATACGGTTAATTTCTCATAGAAAGTCCTTTCAGAGAACACCTCAAGAGGGCTGTAAAGAAAATAAATGTCTAAAAATGCTGCAGAGTCTATGTTATACAGTAACAACAAATAAATTGTCAGGAAGAGTTTATAAGTGTTTATGTTTTATACATGGCAAAGTGCATTTAAAATAATTTGGTTTGTTTGAAGAAATAGCCATTTTGGGATTCACCAGTGGCCGAATGACTAAAATTACTGCACACTGGTAGTTTGTTGTGGTTTCCCGCCTGACCATGGAGTTTTTCGGGTTTATTTCACGTTAGTAACATGTAAATATGGTCAGTTTTTCAGATAAAATCCTCCTGGTTGGCATCCCACACCGCAGATCGTTCACGTGTTGCTTTGACGTAAAGAAGTAAACAAAAGCCAATGATTTCATCATATTTCGTGGTAGAAATAACCACTACGTAAGATTTGGTGTTTTTATACTTTTGAAATTGTGTGTTGTTTATCAAAATATATTCTAGGTTGCATTTATATAGAATGCATTAAAAATATAGAGGAGTGTGTTGTCCAAATTTTATTCATTTTGAATAAAAACCAATAATAGAATTGAACCTTACGTTCTTAAATTTATTCTGAAACATTTCAAAATATTAAAGTGTAAATTTAATAAAATAAAGAATTAATTAAGTAGGCACGTATTGTGGAAACAAGAGATTTACGTCTTTAATATTTTTGTTACATGTAATAAACTGAGGTATTTAATATATATTTTAATTAAACATTGTTCTTTTATAATCATCTTTTATGTACGTGAAAAGTACATAGGGGAGATCGGGGCAAGATCGGCATGTTAAGCTTTACTTAAATTTTGTGTAATAAATACTGCTTTAAACTGAAAAATAAGCTTTGCATGTCGTCTATTGGAATGTTACCTTACTATAGAACTGGTTAAAATCAGTTTGAAAATAAAAATAATTAAAATAATTACAACTTTACAAGAAGAGAGAAATTGACGAAGTTGCCCCGGGTATAGGGGCAAGATCGGCAACTTCTCTCTTTTTGTAAAGTTGTAATTATTTTAATTATTTTTATTAAAGTTGCCCCTGGTATAGGGGCAACAGTAATGGGGCAAGATAGGCACGTATATAAAATTATGTTATTAACAATGTATAAGTTGGAATTCACTATTAAAACAAAGAAATACAAATCCAACACCCATTTAATATTATTACAACGAAATGCAAGTTCAAAGACATATATACATGAATAACAAATGCAAACATGTTTTCATTTATCATCTGTTTGATTTTTATCCTTTGCTTCTAATGTGGCTTTATGTTGCCGATCTTACCCCGCTAGTCATGATTTCGAAACATTAAGTACAACCCTGAGAACAGAATGCCAAGCCACGATCTGGCCACGTGAATAAGTTGAAGTTACATCCTTCTAACAGGAAAAGTAACTTTCGTTATCATGGAATTATAACAAAACCTGCCAATTCAATATAAATGGAAAAAAAATATTATATGGAATTGAACGAAAATGAAAATTTGCTTGATAATTCAACTACGCTTGTTGGAGAACAATAAAAACACTACACTCAACAAGCCACCAATAAAACTCAACTGCCTAACCTATAACCAAAGTCTCCTTTTAATTTGTTTTTTAAAAAAAGCGCTTGACAAACTTGCCCCGCATGCCGAAGTTGCCCCGGTCTCCCCTATGTATAAGAAAAGTTCATACATTTTTTATTTATGTATTAAAAATATAAAAACAGATAAGCTACTCATGAATCAGTTAATATTTTTTTATGTTGAAATTGTATTTAATAAAATATGCTATTCCCTTCACTATTCAAAGTAATTTAATTAAAAGCACTGCAATATAAACCCACGGGCATCATCATATACAGATTCTTCCAAAAATAATCAACCGTTTTAAATTATTGTACTTATGTGATTTATTATATCAGAACTTTGCAATGCACAAGAAAACATTGAAAAACTATCCAAGTTACACACTTACATTTATGTGGGTTCCCAGACGAGGTTCAAACTCGAGTAAACCGTGAAATTCTCGCGCGACACAAGATGTAAACAACGAGACTCGGAACTGTTCGAGTATGTGTCAAACTATCTGTCAAGGTCTTAGCGGAAGACAAACTCTAACACGAGCGCTCATAAATAGGTAGATCATTAACTCGCGTGTCTATAAAATGTTGTCCGAAATAAACCTTTTCTAACAAAAAAAGGGGAAATTTTGATAGATGAATGAGGAAAATGATCGTTAAATTCTTAGACGTCAAAAAAATGGTAATCACCGGTCTGAGTTATGAGTGCAGGTGTTATTGTTTTATAAATAGTCACAGAGCAGAGTCGACAAAGAGGTATCAGATGGACACCTCGAATCGGACCTTTCCCGCGACCCGGAAAGGTTTCGTCTTGCATCTGGAGACAAAGGGGAGACCAATCGGGAAGCGAGGAATGGGACGAGGGACCAATCCGAAATGCGAATAGTGGGAGAAAAACTATAAAAATCGAAACTTCAAGGTCGAAGAAGCGTCTCCGCTGGATTAAGCCTACTGTTGTGCTTTATCTATTGTGTTGTGCTACCGCCGATCACCTAGGACGCCGCAGCTTAACACCGAACATCTGCGTTGTCCAGCGATCCTTCTCGTCCGCCCTGGCTACGACCGATCACCCGAACTCTCGCCGTTTCTTAGGAACACCGAGATTTTGAAATTGTCCAATATCGATGTAAGCATGAATTCGAACAAATGAACGGGTTTCTCTTGTAAAACACTTGTTCTTCATTTGCCTCCTTCGCCTCCGCCCACATACGCGGTTTCCCTTAGGCTCATTCTCACGCGGGAGTAATTGTAATACCCCTTTCAGTCGGCAGACCTTACATTTATTTATTACATTTATCATTATAATTTCTCAATGTGTATACCTTATATAACACGGAACGTATCTAACCAATACTCAAATTCTTCCTACGCTCTCTACGTTAGAAATTGATGGAAATCAAGTTCGTCGATTTTCTTGAAGTGTCCCCAGAATCCAAACCATTTTTTCATAATGCCATCAAATGTGGATAATTTTAGTTTTGGATATCGTCATAACGAATTCTGCGAAACTGATACATTAATTGTAGCTATAAAGTAACAGGCATACTAAATTGAATGGAATTCTCAACTTTTGCTTTAAGACTACTTATTTTACTGTGCATAATCCATTTCTCGATATGTGTTTCCGATTCATCTATTTCTGGCTCAGTAATATCATTATCTTTAGGTGCTGTCAGAATTATTTCTTTAACTTGATCCTCAACCATAAGCATCCGTTTCGCCTTTTGTTCGATTAGACTTAACTTTATAATATCTCCATTATCCGATAACTCGTCTTCTTTCTCGTACTCATTGCATAATTTCGTAAGCAATCTTCTGTGCCGCTTTTAACGTCTCTATGTTTAAAATAAATAGGCGTAAACTTCACTTTGCAGCCTAATCCTGTTGCGGAGGCCAGTTGATCTGGCCTCGTAAAAAAGTCTTGAGGATTAGCTTTCACGGATTCTATTTCCAGGCCTGGACGTTAATCAACACGTGCATGATTAACATGATTAATGCCGTGATATAAATGGAATTCTTTAAAATTATTTATGAATAAATTCCTATCTTTTTAGTCTTAATTAAAACATGTCAAAGACGTTTATAATATCGCCATATTATTACGAAATTTAATGATGATAAATGTGTCATAATATATAACTGCATGTGTGACGTGTGTAATCCTCAGCTATAAAAATCGCAGTATAAATAAAGGGGAGATAGCTTTAGATATAATATATCTAAAGCTATGAATACAGAAGTGGTTTGCATTGTTATATTAATTATTTGCATCAATACCGATGCCACAAGTAAGAATATTTTCTTTTCATGCTATTAAAATATTCATATTTTCATTAATTTTGAATTAATTTTGAATTTAGAAAGACCAACAGACTGTCTATTTCAGCGAGATCCAGGACCATGTACCGGAACAATAGATAGTTATTATTATAGAATTTCTAATGGTAGATGCGAACGTTTCGTTTATGGTGGATGTGACGGAAACAGCAACAATTTCCAAACTTTACAAGAATGCTGCGACTTTTGTGTTTCAAGTATGTTTATTAATTTCAAATTTTATATTAAGCTGGCAATTACTTTTTAAATTAATATATAAATTTCACGCTGATATTGTTTTTCCCCCAGCAAAGCCGCCTTGTCCTAAAGAAAGTATTGATATAATGGACTACGTGTAAAATATAATTATTACACATGGAATATCGTTATTGCATTAAAATAATTGTGTATTTGTTTATTCAAATGTATTCTTCGTTACTAATGAATAGAATGTATTCAAAATGCAGATTTGCCTGAAGAGGAAATTAAAATCCTAAAATCCATTGAAGTCCATTATAATTATACAGTAAGATGCAATTTTAATTCATTTCGATTAAATGTATTTAGTATTTAATAAATGTAATAATTATGTTTGTTTTCTTTTTTCCGTGACTGATATTTTAAATAAATTGCAATTGCCTACGTACAGTACAGTTCGAATAGGAGCAAAATTATTTCCGTTAAAATGGTAACTTATTACCGTTACTAAGCAGATAGTTGCTGTAGTATTATTGATTTTCTCTAATTCCGTAATAATACAGCAATTAATTAATTATATATTTAAAAAATATCTTGTACTGTCAGATGAAAGCTTTATACTTGTGAAATGCGTGTTTCATTTGTATTAAAAAAACGTACTTATTCAGCCATGCATAAACAATGTCTATCAAGAATTTTGTCTTCCTGTTTACAAGATAAGCAAAACTGATATATTTCTATGTATTTCTGTCAGTTTTTCGATTGATATTTGTCAGGTTCTACTTTTCCATAAGACATATCTACTGTACTTCATTCGATGAATATGTAAAATATCCCGAATTTTCGCCAAAATATCCCGAGCTTGCATATGCTTGTAATGACTGTGCAGTGTTAAATTTCAGAATATTTAAAAGAGTAGTTAAAAATATTTAAAAGAGTAGTAAAAAATTATGTATGGTGATATATATCACCATACATTATTTTTGGTAATGATTTATCTCTGGGTCTCTAGAAAATCTGAAGTCGTAAAATGTCATAAAAGTTATTAGAAAAACAAAACAGTAAGATACGGGTTTAATTTCACGAGGTACCGTTTTCTTTCTTCGATAGAGAGATCATTATAATATGAACTAGACATGGTAGATCTTGAAAATTAGAAACTTTTAAAAAATACTTGCTGGAAAAACTGTTTTTCCAATAGCTACAATTCCTCCTATGCAGGAATTCGAACTGATACCTTCTTTCTCAAACCTTCCTTCTTTCTTCGAAATGATTATTTTCTTCCTGTTAACTTCCATCGAGGCTAAATCCCATTTTCTGAATCTAGATTCATCTTTATTTTAAATCGAATTAAAAAAATAAATTAAACAATGGCGGATAGAAAGACTATTACTAATTATGGAACAACAATTATCGATTGTTTAACGACTTAAAATGAAATTTAAATAACCCAAACTTAAAAAAAATTTCTCTGTCAATTTAGAATTTTAACGATTATAAAACCTTCCCCCTTTTTCAATTTTCCATGACTTCAATCTTTTTCTTATCTCCACACTTAAGGATCAAAGTACTGGACAGATCTTACCTAGTGAATCGAAAATACGATAAGCTGCAGTTATAATTAATTTCTTAGTAATCTTTTCGAAACACATTCTTCAGATTCATCACAATTATTCGAATGTGTCATTACTTTACTCCCAAATTATTCCTAAAACTTTTGTATCTGCTACTGTTTACAGAAAGATCAGTATACCCTCCACCTTCTCAACTCAAACTTCCTTTCGACAATAAACTTTTCATTTCTTGCACAAAACGTCGTAACTTTAATTTACTTTGAACAATTGTTACCCATTTACCAATATAAAACACTATTCATGATTTTCCGAATATCATCTTCTGGATATGTCGACTTTCTTTTCTTGATCAATTTTAAAACTGACCGAAGGTGATACTGAATCACAGCTTCCAGAAGAAAGAGACTACAACATACACAAAACATCAATCTACAATGTCTATTGTTTCAAATGTTCATCAATTCCATGCCATAAAAAATGGGAGAAAGTTCTTATCATTAGGAAACAAACTGATTTGTAGAAAAGCTTTACGAATGTCTGCCTCTGCACCTATTTTTTTTTTCAAATGAATAGGAGTTTAAATCGTAGGAATCAATTCGATGAGTCTAATCCTTTTGCAAGACATTCGTTAAGAATGGGCAATCTCTTTTGCTTAGCCGATGTATCAAATACAGGTTACAAGAATGATTTCATGAATCGTTTCTTCTCTAAACCTAAGATGATCTGACAGAAATCTTTCTCAACAACGAAATGTCTCGTTTGGTAAAGACTAATCAACTGGTGCCTATAACATTGCTTATCTCTAGCGACTCCTAACGTTTCCAATGATTGTAATTTTGTTTCAAGTTGATCATAAAGTTTTCTTGAAGAATTCCCATTAACTAAATTATTTTCCGTAATCCTAGAGAATGATCTCGAACGTATACTTCTATAAGTATTGAGAATTATTCTCTATCAAAACGGACTTCCAATTGTCTCTTTTCATTGGAGGAAAAACTCTTAATAAATTCTTAGGAAAGTGTTTACTTTTTTATAACTTGAGATAAATAAGTGAATTTGTTATAACTGTCTAAAGTTTTGAAATCGATGGAGATCACCTCCGTCGATTTTCTCGAACTCTCCTCAAAATCCAAACCAATTCTTCACAATACCATCAAATATGAATAATTTTAACTTCGGATCAATCAATCAATCAATCAATATATTTTATTAAGATGTTTGAACAACACATCTCCTGGTTCCGCAAACAAGCATAGCCAGAAGTAAATAACAAAACAATAAATATTACAGCAATAAAGAAGAAATATAATGCTATTTACAATAATATTATATCAAACATTATTTATGTCAATATTTAGTTTATATTTTAACATTTTTATGGTTATTTTTTTATCAAATTAACATTTATTTGTTTTCAGTTTTTTAAAAGAGATCACATAACATATATGATACTACAACATAATACGTAATAAAACATTTATGTTTTGATATTCATTAAATCATAGAATATGTATTAATGTCCGTAGTATGGATGTTGCAAATTGGTTGCTTACATCAGCAGTATATCATAAAATGTTTCTGGTTCAGAGTAGGACCAATGTTCTGAATTTAAGTGCAGAGTCTTTAGTGTATACAGAACACTAGGTTTACATTCCAATTTCCTACTTCGTCGCTATTCACCTGTCGGCAGAGTTCTAACAGTTCTAACTGGTCTAATGTTGAGAACACTCGTTGAGAACACTCGTCTTCCTGATTTCTGGCTCAATTTATCAAAATTTGTGGCAGTAGATCATACTGTTCAGTGAGCAAAGGTTGCGTTAATTCCGTTGTCAGTCAACATGATACGTATTACAAGTTCTTGTCCTCAATGTAGTATTACAATTGTGCAGGAATATAATCCACAGAAGTAGACTATTCATATGGCATGAATTAATATCTTGTCCGACCTCACTGTAATAGGCTAAATCGTCTCCTTAAACATGAATATAAAGAATATATCTATAATTAATAAATATTTATTTTGTAGCAGACCTGGTAACCCCAAAACATCGATAAATTACTCTTATTTTATTAGAAACCTATCAATAATTAAATTATATATCATATATTATATTTTTAATAGGTTTCCCAAATAGTGTGTAAGACATTGTTTGTGATATATCTATATGACCCAAGACACAATAAGCATATATATTAGTCAAAAAGAACCAACAAAGCAAAGACGAACAGGGTTAGTTATTAATAATTTGACTATTGATAGTATTGATGCTATTTGCAAGTTTGGTAAATGCTTTATAAATGTTTTCATCAGTCCAAATATCGGATAGGTTACCTGGCCATATTATGCCTCGTTCCTCCATAAGAAGTCTCAATTCTAATCTTTCTCTAGTAAACATAACACAGTGATAGAGGTAATGTTCCGATCCATCAGTTATGGAACATGTGGGACATAAGTCATTCCCTCTATTAGTAAATCGTGTCAAATAAGAAGCAAATTTGCCATGATTAGTGAGCACTTGTGTCGTATTNCGTAATATCACTGGTTTAACATCGAAATCCGTGAGTAATATAAAATCGGAGAGCGGAATAAATATATCAAATATTTTAATGGATTTTTTTAACTCCTGTTAACTATACAGAACTATCGTAAAAACATACCAGTAAATTCTTATCGGTTGAGTTAAGTTATAAATCTACTCGTTATTCACGTAATCGAAATATTTAGTGGGCAGGCGGCTAACAGCCCAGAACCGGTCCTTGATAGAATTTGAATATTTATATGTGTGCAGCTTCTGCCCAAGGTCGTAGGCTTCCACCGGCTAAACCGGGTGAGGTTGGTGCTCTGTAAAGCGCGTGCGCAAATCTGGGTTTTCGTAATCTGAAAATACAGGAGATTCCACTCCGCCACTAATATTCTAATATACAATAGCAATTTTTTTTTCCACGTGTAGTATAGAAATTTGTAATAAGATACATAATGCGGTTATAATAAAATATTGTGCGATTATTTTCATATAATTAAAATTAATAT